TCTGGCTGTGTTTTGGTTTTTTAAGGTGTCGCCCTTTGCCCTCTGTTGTACAGTGTGATGTTCCAAGTGCTGAAATCATCTCCTCCTGTCACGAGTGGGTTCCAGCAAGTTCCTTGTACAGCAGTGCAAAGCTGATCTGTCCAACAGCTTCCAGTTAATCCAGTGTTAAACACAAGTGAAATGCACTCTCTATGCTCAGACTCCTTGCCAGCTGAGGTGAGGGTTAGCCTTTGCTTTTCTCAGAAACACCAGCTGTGTTTGTAGTTTGACATGAGGCACAAATACACTGAGGAGCTGAATGCAGGGGTTGGTGACTGCAGGGAGGAGAACACCAGAGGAGGAACCTCAGAGTCCATCACCAACACCACTGTGGTGTCTGTGGTGGTGCACTGACCCCTAATTAGGAGTTAATGACAGTGGTGGAGTGAAATACGGATCCCGCTGTTGAGTGTGCTGTGTGTGATCCTCTCTGACAATCTGGGGATGTTTGTTCCTCTCCAGTCCTTGGGACAGCCTCCACCTCTGAATAAATCCAGTGACTGTTAGGTCCTGGCAGGAGCTAAAACATCCAAGGGTTAATTGTTAACTTCTCCAATCTGTTTTGTATTTTCAAAGACAATCAGTTGCCTGGCTTAGCCAGTTTTTATGCAGTTTCAGCCCTTGTTTGCTGTTTTTCATGAAAACTTTTTCTGTGTGGCCTCCTGTGTGTCTGACAGAGCATCTGCTGCTTCTGAGACCAGGATGCATCTTTTAGAATACAGATCTTTGATTTTGTGATCTTGTGTTAAGTGTTTTAGTAGGAGGAAAATATGCCTTGGTATAACAACACCTGCTCCTGTGCTTTTATGCTATTTTATAGCCAAACTTTTTTAGTCTAGACAGATTCTTCTTTTTTTCTATTTAAAAAGATAAAATGATTTGTGAACAAACCAGGCTGCTGATGTTCCTGTGTAGAAATCATTCTGAAATTCAGATTTTTCAGGTTCATTTCAGTGTGTTTCAGTTGTACCTGATGTGCTTCTTGAACTTTCAGAAGTGTTTTCACTTGACTGACAGCAAGGGGAAAAGGAATGGGCAGGGATTCTCAAGGATGTGGAAGTTTTAGCTTCGTGTTGTGCCTGCTCAGGATCCCTCCTGCCACCAGCTTCCAAGTGGGATCCTGCAGGCAGGTCCTTGCTCCAGAGACAGGAACAGGACAGAGTAAAAAGGCAGGGAAATGGGGTTTGTCCATCTGTCACAGGTGTGATATTTATGTATCTCTTCAGGTATTGAAATCACTCCAAGCCCAGCTTCACTGTCTCACTGTTCCATGCAATTAAAACAAAGGTAAAAACCCAACAAAAACCTGTGTTATCCAGCAGGCTTATGGATTCTTGAAATTCCAGAAGTCTGGGTTGGATTCTCTGTGGTGTTTCTATTTTTTCAATGATTTCATTTCTACCCCAGTGTAGAAGTTGCTGTAAGTAGGAGTAAATGGAAAACCTTCAGAAACAGTTTTATAAGGAGAATCCAGTGTGATGTTGTTGATGTATAAATGTGTAAAATGTGGAATAACATTCCAGCACTTTCCATTGTGTAAAGACACTTCAAATAAAACAATGCAGTGCCATTCAGCTTGGGATTTGGACTGTGTTCCATGCTGCACAGGGTGGATATTGAGGTCTGAGATGGTGGTGTCTGCTGGGCTGTTCTCATGGCCAGATGGGATGGGGACTCCATGTCCCATGTCCCACAGCAGGGATTTGGGGTCCTTGCAGGGACCACTCTGGGTGGGAAGGAGGAGCCAGCCAGAGGCTTCAAAGCTTTAATGAAGCCATTGATCAGTATCAGAAGTGATTCTGCTCCACTCCAGGCTGACAGCCTGGGAGCCAGGCTGGGAAATGAGGCTGGAGTTTGGGAAATGAGGCTTGCCCCAAAGCTCTTCCTCATGCCATGATTCAGTACCCCCCACCAGGACCTGTTTCTCCTAATCACTGACCTGCTGGTGAGGGCTATTTTTAGCAGCAGGCTTGCACAGAGGCACCAACTCAGCCCTTTCTGAGCTTGCACTTTGTATAAATAAATACCCCAAATTCCTTTAAAACGTCCTCCTTGAGCAGCAGCTGAAACATGTGGTGTTTCTTTGTGTTCTGCACTTATGGGAGTACTTTGGTTTATAATAGCTGAGAACCTGTGATTGCAGCTCCTCACTCTGCCTTGTCTCCTGGAAAGACCCTGTGCATAAAATTATTCCCTGGAAGGTTTAATTTCCATTTTTGTCTGGGTTTGGATTAGGGATACTTTTGAGCCCAGAACAGAGGGCTGGTTTGTGAATCTTACTGGGTTTTGTGTATTTCCTCTACTCTCAGTGTAAAACTCACTAGGAGAGATTCCTGGAGTGGAAACAGACCCCAGCCAAGCTTCATCCCCTTGCAGAAAATGCAGAGCAAGAGAAAAGACTTCTCCTGAGTAGGCACTGACCCTGAGATGTGAGTGAGTGTGACACAGGGCTGTCCCTGCCATCCCTCACAGTTCCAGGAGGGTCCCAGGGTCTGACTGCTCCATAAAACAAGAGCAGGGCCTAGAAAGTAGAAACCACTGGGTTTTAGATGTTACCTAATGTGTTAAAATCCTGCTCTGTACTGTAACACTTTGGCATGCTCAGGCTTGTAGAGGGAATGTTTGATTTCCCTGGTGAAGGGAACATATTCCAACCATCAGCAGCATTTCAACCATTGGGGTGAGGCAGTGGGAAAGACATTCTGGCAGTCTGGTTTGCTCTTACATAAAACATAAAAACCAATTCCTGTCCTCTGTGGCTCTGTGTGGGATCACAGCACAGGACAGGGACTGGGAGGGCAGCCAGGCTGAGCTGTGCCCTGCTGCTGGGACAGCCACCTCAGCTCCCTCCATCCCCAGGGGTCAGGTAATTATTTCTGAGGCTGTGGGTGCATGGAGATCACTGAGGGCCTGATTTCACCATTCAGTTCCAAGCTCAATCATAATGAATTTTTAGCTGTTTCTGATATCTGCTGTGATATCTGCTTCCTCTTTGTTCTCACTGAGACACTCCACTCTGCTGTGCCCTGCCAGGGGCAGGCAAGCTGCAGATTAACCAGCAGAGCTGGGAGTGAGCTGCTGCTCCAGGAGGAGCCCAAACCTGCTCCATGGTAAATGCAGTGAGACTCCACACCTTGCAAGGCTGGGTCACTTCCTAGGGGCTGATAATGCTGTAGTAAGCCTGGAGTTAATTCAGAGTTGTGTTTTGTCCTTTGATGTCCACTGACCTCATCAGGATTTTTATGGAGCATCCCAGAGTCTGCTTTGGTCCTTCCTTAATGGGGTAAGCTCAGGGTTGGTGCCTGCAAACTGGGTCACTGATGCTGGCAGCAGAGCTTTACAGTAACAGTGTATAAGCATTTATTTACACATTATACAAATGTATTTATGCATTTAACAGTGTATAAACCTAGTGTGTGGCTCTAGCTCATAGTAAAGGGCTACAAATTTAAGACCTGGTGAGGGACAAACTCTTGGGAGAGTCCCACCCTCCCTCTCTGCTGTCACAGAGGCTTTGGGAACTCACATTTGCTTTTACTTGGGCTGCCCAGCAGTCAAGGGGCTGCTGCCTCCCTTCCTGTGCTACTTAAATTGAGTTATTAATTACTTTTATTAACTTACATTCATATCTCTTCCCAATTATGGTTGCTGACTGTTGAAAGAAGCCCCTTCTGCTCTCCAGAGATACAGCCCAGGGAAGGTTTGTGGCTGGAAAACCACCAGGAGAGCCTCGTGCTCCTGCTTGTTTATGCAGGATGGGACAGTCATTGTAAGGAAATCAATCAAGGGGAATGTATTCCCTTGGAAGGATGATTGGTGAGTAATCCCTGCTGGGATTTCAGTCTCTGGTTTTAAGAAGCTGCATGGGCCTCAGTGGGATTGAGGTGGAAGTGACTAATGAGGGTCTTTGTAGCTCTACAAAAAATTTGTTAAATAATTGGAACTGGAAACTCTGGTTTCTGGTGAAAAAGCTTCTGTGCTTGTGTTCTGTGGGTTTTCTGTGGAAATCAGCCTATGGTGGACACCAAAGTGAAGCATGAGCTGTGTGAAGGTCACAAATGTTTCTGAAGAAGGAAAGGGAGAGCTGCAAGGTAAGGAAGGACCCCCTTTTTCAGCCCAGCTGGACTCTGGTCTTCCCAAGAAATCCACTGGAAATGTTTATGGACCATCAGGACCCCCCTTGGTGCCTTAGAGGTGGGATTCTGTAAGGAGCAGGTTTTCTCCTGTTTCAGTTGCATTAGAAGGGAGGTGGGTGATGTAGCTCTGGCTGAAATGAGGACAGGGGGGAAACATCTCCTGCACAGCAGCTTGACCACCCTAAACCACAAATGGAGCCTGAATGAGGGCTGTGGCTTGTTCCTGTGGTTTTCTGGTTTCCCTGGGGAGCAGCATCAGGCCCAGGCAGGGGACAGATCCCTTTCTAAAATGTGATGTCCACAGGAAAAATTCAGACAGGGACTGGGGTCACACTTCTCTGCAGGACAAAGCCAACGAAGTACAGGTTAAAAGTGAGGATTCCTTTCCAGTTTGATCCTTTTGATTCCACTGATGAGTGGACAAAACCACTCGTTCCCTTTGGGCTGGATGTGCTTGGGATCTCTCGAAGTGCCTGGGAGACCTTTGGGCATCGAAGAGCTGCAGAAACCGGGGCTGTTCCCAAAGCGTGAGCGAGAGACGGAGGCGTTACCCCAGACTCCTCCATGCCCCCAGCCGCTGCCCGGCGGGGTCGGGGCACCCGCAGCCCCGCACGGGCCGGGGAGGCGGCGCCGGGGGCCGGGCCGGGCTGGGCGGCCCCGGGGAGGCACCTGCGG